TGCTGCTGCTCATATCGCCCCGCCAGAGGACGAGGCAGCAAGAAGAAGCTTCATAAAAAAAGACTATGAAATAAAACAGCAGCTGCAGCAGGCAGCTGGGGAGCTGCTGCGCCTGTGCGCCTCCGGGGGCCCTGGGGGGCCCCGGGGTGCTGGAGCAGCAGCGGCAGCAGCAGCAGCAGCAGGGGCAGCAGCAGGGAAGCTGTGTGTGCAGTTAAGAGTTAGCAGCAAAGTCTAGGTGGCGAAGAGAGTCTGCTTGCGTCTTGCGCAGCACACACACAAAGACAGCAGCAGCGCGTGCCCACCAAACTGCTTCTGCTGCTGCTGCTGCTGTTGCTGCTGGTGTCTCGTTTGCAGACGTGGTGCTGCTGCGCATTAATGGCCTCGCTGCTGCCTTATCCCTGAGTTGAAATAAAGTTATTCTGCCGCTAATTTGTGGAGTTTCAGAAGCAGGCGCTCTAATTTGTGAGTTTCCTCTCGTCAGTTCTGCTGCTGCTGCTGCTGCCGCTGCAGCTGTGCTGCTGCGTGTGCTGGCAGCAGCAGCGGGAAGGGCGCAGCGGCAGCAGGAGACGAAGGCTGCGTGTGCTGCTGCTGCTTTCGCATGTCTACTGTTTGTAACTAGAATAGAGGAGCTAAAGTGGCTAGAGCGCGGCCTTCTGTGCAGCAAAACGCGGACTGCGCGAGCCGCTGCTGCTGCAGCAGCAGCGCGCAGCAGCAGCAGGGAGGATCGACAGTGGGTGGCGTCTCTGTGTGTTTCCGCGCAGTTAGGTTTGCTTTTGGGTTTCTCAGTTTTGGAAAAGCATTAGAGTTAGCGAAAAGCAGCAAAGAAGTGCAGAGTTGGTTGTCCGTGGGCGCGTTTCGGGCTCGGTGCCGGTGCTGCTGCTGCTGCTGCTGCTGCTGCAGCGTCTCAGCGGGCGCGAGCTCCAGTGGGCAGCAGCAGCGGGCGGGGGCGCCTGGGTCGCTTTCGGGCGTTGGGGGCGCGGGAAGAGGGAGGGAATTGGATTTGGCTGGCGCGGGGAGGTTTGCTGCAGGAGTTGGGCGTGTTTGCTGCAGCAGCTGCAGCAGCGGGTGCAGCAGCAGCAGCAGGGGCGGGTGTCCGGGGCGTCGTGGAGCGGCGGCGGGCGCGTCGTTCGTAGCGGCGTGTGCCGCTGCTGCTGCTGCTGCTGCCGCAGCTTCTCCCTCGCGCAGGCGGCGCGGGGGGGGAGTTTGGCAGCAGCAGCAGCAGCAGCAGCAGCGAGCAGAAGATTCCTTTGTCTTTCTACTCTTGAGCTCTTCTTCTCCAACTCTTCGCGACTCTCTCTCTCTCGCCCCAACTTTTTCCCCCGCGCCCCGCAGCAGCAGCAGCAGCAGCAGCAGCAGCAGCAAAATGGCAGACCTCTTCAGCGGACTCGTGGGCGGCGTCGTCGGCGCTGTTGCTGCAGCAGATTTGCCTGCGGAGGGCGAGAGGGCCCCCCGCCCCGCCCCCGGCACTGCCTGGACTTGCTGCTGCAGCAAACTGCAAGAAGGGGCCCGCGAGCTGGAGGGTTTTGTGCAGCAGCTGAGTTTTGTTGCAGGGAAGCTGGCCTGCTGCCTGCGGGTGGGGGCGGAGCAGCTGGCGCGCTGCGCTGCGGAGGGGCGGCTGCCCAGCAGCAGCAGCAGCAGCAGCTGCTGCGCGCTGCTGCAGCTCGAGAAGCAGGACCTCGAGCAGAGCCTCGAGGCCGGCAAGCAGGGCGCGGAGTGCCTCTTGAGGAGCAGCAAACTGGCCCTCGAGGCCCTCCTCGAGGGGGCCCGCGTTGCAGCAACGCGGGGTTTGCTGCTGGTCGAGAGCAGCAAAGACACGGTGCTGCGCAGCATTCCCCACACCCAGGAGAAGCTGGCTCAGGCCTACAGTTCTTTCCTGCGGGGCTACCAGGGGGCAGCAGCGGGGAGGTCTCTGGGCTACGGGGCCCCTGCTGCTGCTTACGGCCAGCAGCAGCAGCCCAGCAGCTACGGGGCGCCCCCCGCCTCCAGCCAGCAGCCCTCCGGCTTCTTCTGGTAGCCCTGCAGCAGCAGCAGCAGCAGCAGCAGCAGCAGCAGCAGCGGCGGCGGCAGCCGCGGCGGGGCCGGGGCGCCGCTGCAGCAACAGCAGCAGCCGCGGCGGCTAGCGCCGCGGAGCACTCGCAGGGAACTCCACAGGCAGCGGGAGAGCAGCAGGGACGAGAAGCAGGTCTATGTAGCGCAGGCAGCAGCGCCAGCTGCAGCAGCAGCAGCAGCAGCAGCAGCAGCAGCAGCAGCTCCTGCACCGCAGCGTTGTGTCATTTATTACGTTGGCAGCTCTGAGGCCTCGGCGCAGCCAACGCGCCTCAGGTATCTTTCAGACTCTTTTCTCTAAGGTCTTCCAGACGCCCCTCGTTTCTACACATAGCTAGCTAGCTAGCTAGCTAGCTAGCTAGCTAGCTAGCTGGCTGGCTAGCTGGCCAGGGGAACAGTAGACAGCGAGCAGCTAGCCGTTGAACTAGCTAGCTGGCCTACTTAGCTTCAGGGAGTCCTAGCTAGCCGCTGGCCGAGTAGTCTTGGCTAGCCAGCCGTGGGGGTAGTGGGGGTCCAGCTAGCTAGCTAGCTAGCTAGCTAGCTGGCCACTTGGGTGGCTTGCCGTGAGTCCACTCCCAGCTAGCTGTGCAGTGGAACGCGAAACGATGTGGCTAGCTAGTTGGCCCGCCGTCCAGCTAGCTGGCTGGCTAGCTAGCCGTTGCCAGGTACACCACTGGCTAGCCAGCTGGCCGCGCGGGTAACGGCGGCTAGCTAGCTGGCTAGCTAGTCCCCAGTTCCCTATGGAGCCAGCCGGCTAGCTAGCTACTTGGCTAGCTGGCCAGTTAGCTAGCTAGCTAGGCAGCTGGATAGCTCTGGCTAGCTAGCTGAGTGTGTGGGTGAATCTTCGCGCTGAGGAGGGGCAGTCGCCGCACCTTGAGCCAAGGAGTTAGCTAGCTGGCTAGCTACCTGTCTAGCTAGCTAGCTGTTTGGCTAGCTGGCCAAGTGCCTGGCTAGCTAGCTGAGGGCCTACAGCCGGAGCTTCCCACGTAGAGCTAGCTGGCTGGCTGGCTTTCCAGCTGGCTAGCTTTTATCTAGCTAGCTCTTCAGCTGGCTAGCTAGTATATACCTAGCTAACTGGCTTTAGCTAGCTAGCTAGTTGTCTAGCTGGCTAGCTGTCCGGCCGGCTAGCTAGCTCTTTAGCTAGCTAGCTAAGCAGCCCTTCGGCTAGCTGGCTAGCTAATAGCCCTCATGCTGAGTCGATGGGGACCAGCGCTGCAGCCAATTGATTACCGCTGGCTAGTTAGCTGGCCAGCTAGCTAGCTAGCCACGTAGCCACTTAGCTAGCCAGCTAGCTAGCCAGCTAGCTAGCTAGCTGTGGCCAGTCGGTTCCGATTTCGAGAACTTGAGCAGCAAGCTGGGGTGTCTGTACACACTGCAGCACTGCTGCTGCCTGGTCGAAAGCGGAGATGCCCCAGCAGCAGCAGCAGCAGCAACTTTTGCTGCATTTGCTGCAGCAGCAGCACATTCTGCTGCTGCAGCTGCCAGACTGCTTGCGCATCTGCTGCTGCTCCTGCTGCTTCAGCTGCAGCAAGACCACGCGCTGCTGCCGGTCTATCCGCCGCTGCTGCTGCTCCTCCTCCTCCCCTCCTGCTGCCGCCACCGCCGCCGCTGCTGCTGCTGCTGCTGCTGCTGCTAGATGGGGGCGACGGGGGGCCTGGGTCTGCTGCAGCAATCTGCTGTTTTGTGTGGGGCCAGTTTGAGCCACTGGTTTAAAACAAAATTCAAAACTTTGGAATGAACTCCGCAGACAGAATTAAAAAGAAAGTCCCCCACACTCAGTGTCACGGAATAAACTGCTTCCTCTCCTGCTGCCGCTGCTGCTGCTGCTGCTGGTGCTGCTGCTGCTGTTGCTGCTGCTGGGGTCTTCCCGGCCCCAGCAGCGCCAACGCCAGCGCCGCCGCTGCTGCTGCAGCTGCTGCTGCTGCTGCTGCTGCTGCTGCTGATGGGGGGCTTTGGGGGCAGCGGCAGCAAATCTGTGGGCCAGGGCTCGAAGTAAAGAAAAACAAAAGGAGCCACTTGGAGGCCCTCGGGGTAAACCTTGTACGGGTTGGGACAGCGACGCAGCTGCAGCGGCACAGGGCAGCTGCAGCAGCAGCAGCAGCAGCAGCAAAAGCAACAGCAGCAGCAGCGGCGCGCAGGGAGAGCAAGTTCAGTTACTATTCTGTTTAATGCAATTCACACAGAGGGAAAGCACCGAAACAACACCCAGAAGCAGCAGCAACGACGCTAGAAACAGCAGCAGCAGCTGCTGCTGCTGCTGTTGCTGCAGCAGCAGCTGGTACAAGCGCAGCACCTCCAGCAGCAGCACTAGCAACAGCAGCAGCTGCTGCGTCAGCAGCTGCGTCAGCAGCTGCAGCAGCAGCAGCGGCAGCAGCTGCTGCTGCTGCTGCTGCTGCAGCAGCAGGTGTGGGGCTCACAGTTGGGTCTCTTTGGGGTTGAAAGTGAATTCTGCTGCTTGTTGGTTTTTCTGAGGGACAACAGAATCGCAGTGTCTCCACATCCGGGTGTCTGCGCAGTTCCTTTCGGAGACACAAAAGCGGTCCAGAGAAGGGACGCAGCCGCTGCTGCTGCTGCTGCTGCTGCTGCTGCTGCTGCTGCCAGCACACTCTTCCACGCGCCCTGCAGCAGAAGCAGCAGCAGCAGCAGCAGAAAACGCAAACAGCAGCGCAGGCACGAGGGCTCCTGGGAAAAGCCAGCTGCGGAGAAAGGCAGTGGAAGCAGCAGCAGCAGCAGCAGCAGAACAGAGAGCAGCAGCAGAAGCAGATGCAGCAGTAGCTAAAACGAGAGCAGCAGCAGCAGCAGCAAAAAGCAAGACAAGGAGGCATCATATTCACGCAGAGAGCCACCAGGAGATAACAGCAACAAGTGGATTTCAAAAATAAATAATTTTAAAAGTGAAAACAAAAAGACACAAAAGAGACCACCTGCCAGCTGTTGCATGTTCTATGCAGCTGCAGCAGCAACAGCAGCAGCAGCAACAGAAGCAGCAGCAACAACGTCCGCAGCAGCAGCAGAAAAAGCAACATCAGCGTCAGCATCAGGTGCAGCAGCAAAAGCAGCAATAACAACGGCAGCAACAACAGCAATAACAGCAGCAGCAGCAACAGCAGCAAGAATAGCAACAGCAGCAGCAGCAGCAGCAGCAGCAAACCTTTGTTGTCTGGGGGCGCCAAAGTGAAGGCAAATACGGTGAGCTCATCTGTGGGGTGGGACTTCATAAAGAGATGCGCAGAAAGAAGCCCGAAGGGCAAAAACTCGTATAGCTGCACACGCACACCATACACTGCTGCTGCTGCTGCTGCTGCTGCTGCTGCTGCTGCTGCTGCTGCTGCTGGTGATAGCTGCAGGTATAAGCTCGGGGAAGTGGGTCTTTTTAGCTGCTGCTGCTGGTGATGGCTGCAGGCATAAGCTGAGTCATATATGTTTCTTCATCTGCAGCAGCAGCAGGTGCTGCAGCTGCTGCTGCTGGTGTTTCTGCTCCTGTTGCTGTTGCTGCTGCTGCTGCTGTTCCTTGTGGTTGGGGGGACAGACAAAGAGAGACAGAAGGAGAGAAGAAAGCAAAGAGACAAAAAGACAAAAACAGGAAGAGGCAAGAAAAGAGACAGAACGAAGCAAAAAGATATACAATTGCTGCTGCTGCTGCTGCTGCTGCTGCAGCTGCTGCTGCAGCTGCTGTTGCTGCTGCTTAGCATGAAAAGAAAGGGAAAACAGATGCAGAGAAGTGCAAAAGACACATGAGGATTTAAAAATAAGAAAATCAAAAAGATTTTAACAAAACAAAAGAGGACAAAAGGGAAACAAACAAAGAAGAAAAAAGAAATAAAGAGGAAAATTAAAAGAAACAAAAATGAGGGAGAGACATAAAAAGAAATAAAATGAAATAAAATAAAACAAAGGAAATAAAAAGACAAAAAAAATAAAAAATAAAAAGACAAGCACGGAAAGATAGAGAAAGGAACAAAAAGGACTCGAGGAGGTTTTAGAACAAAATAAAAGAGAAAAATAAAAAGATATAAAATGAATAAAAGCTACAAAATAAATAAAAGATATTTAACAAATAAAAAGATTCAATATAAACAAAAAGATATAAAATGATAAAAGATATATAGTAATATATACAAAATAAGTAAAAAGATATAAAGTGAATTAAAAGATATGAAATAAATAGAAGATATAAAATGCATAAAAAGATACAAAATAAATAAAAGATATGAAAGGATAAATAACAAAATAAAATATAAAATAGGTAAAAGGATAAAAACTGAATAATAAAATATAAAGCAAATAATAAAATATAAAATCAAAAAGATACAAAATAAATAGCAAAATATAAAATAAGTAAAGAAATACAACCAAAAAAAATATAAAATAAATTAAAAGGTATAAAACAAATACAACGATATAAATAAAATAATAAAACATAAAACAAGTAAAAGGATATACAATGAATGGAAAACTATAAAATAAATTAGAAAGACTTGAAATTAAAAAGGTAGGTACAAAATAAATTAAAAGGTACAAAAGAAATGAAAAGACATAAAGTAAATAAGGACATATTAAAAAAATAAAAAAGATATAAATAAAAGCATATAAAAGAAAAAATGATATAAAATGAACAAAAACATAAAATTAGTAAAAAGATGAAACAAATAAAAGAAACAAAAAGGTACAAATGAATCTAAAAAAAGAAAAGATATAGAAGATGTAAAAGGATACGAAAAATATAAAATAAATAAAAAGATATGAAAGATATACGAAATATAAAGATATAAAAGAAACAAAAGAAATAAAAAGATGGAAGCGAAATTAAATAAATGAAAATGATAAAAGACTTTAGATAAATAAATAAATGAAAAGATATGAAAGCCATGAAGGAGTTAAAATGATATAAAAGAAATCAAATAAATAAAAAGACGTGAAGGAAATTAAATAATAAATAAAAAGGAAAAAATTTTCAAAGGAAATAAAAAAACCAGAAAAGAAGTTAATGATATAAACGATATAAGATAAAAAATAAATAATAAAAAGAAATTTAAAAAATAGAAGAAAACAAAAGAAATCAAAGGAGACAAAAACAAACAAAAATTAAAAAAAGAAAAAGGAAAAAAGACGGAAAGAGACTGGAAATGAAAGGAAGTGAAAAGAAATAAAAAGAAATCAAAGAAAATTTTAAAAATTCTAAAATTTTAAAAAAGAAATGAAAAGAGAACAAAAGGAAATAAAAGGAGAAAAGCGAATAAAAGGAAAATGAAAATAAAACAAAAATAAAAAGATAAAACGGAAATTTAAATGAAAAGGAAATGAAGAAGAAACAAAGAGAGAAACAAAGGGAGGCAACAAAAAAATAAAAAAGAAACAAAAGGGAAATAAAAAAAATAAAAAGAAACATAAAGGATAAAAAGAGAGCAAAGAATAAAAGGAAAAAAACAAATCAAAAGAAACCAAAAAATGGAAAACGAAAATGTCCAGGTCCTTAAAGAATCAAGGAAGTCGAAAAAATAAAGGAAAAGAGAAAAACAAATAATGAAATAAAACAAAAATTAAAATTAGGAAAAAAGAAAAAACAAAAAACAAAAAGGCAAAAGGAGACAAAGGAAGACAAAGACGAAAAATACAAACAAAAAAATAGAAATAAAAAAGACAAAAAGTATCAAAAGAAATTAAAAAGCGAAAAAGGGACAGAAAAAGAAATAAAAAGATAAATAAAAAAGCCGAAAACGCAAAAGGACAAAAAGAAACAAAAGGAGAAAAAGAGACAAAAAAGAAAAACAAAAAGCAAAATGACAAAAGGGGACAAAAGGAGAAACAAAAAGAGTCAAAAAGTGAGAAAGAAGAGCCAAAAAGAATTAAAAGAAGAAACGAAGGGAAAAAATAAAAAAGGGACGGAAAAGAAAAAAAGAGACAAATAGAATTAAAAGGAGAAAAAGAGGAAAATAGAAGACGAAAGGAGCCAAAAGAAGAGACAAAAGGATCTATAAGAACAAAAGAGAGACAAAAAGAGACAAAAAAGAGGAAAAAAAGAAAAAAGAATTAAAAGAAGATAGAAAGAATTAAAAAAGATAAAAAGAATTAAAAAGATGAAAAGAAGAAAGCTGACCTCGCTGTGGAAATAAGAAATGGCAGTTCTTGTGGAAATTTGACAAGAAGAAAAAAGTGCTGCTTTAAATTCAAAAGGAACTCGAGAGAGGCTCAGGTCTTCGGGAGCTGTACGTACACCCCAACGCGCATGCATGCATGCATGCATGCATGCATGCATGCATGCAATTAGTTTTCTTCCTCTTACCTTTTATTTCCCTTTCTTTTTCTTTTTTTTTAAAAGCGTTTTGATTTTAGTGCAGCTCTTTTAAACTCTTTTCAGTTATAAATGTTCTTTTTTGAAAAGAAAACCATTTATTTCGCATGCATGCAAAGCCCCATAAGTAGAAGGAGAAATATATTTGCATTTTATGTCGAAAAAAGAGAAAAAACTGCTGCTGAAGAAGCTGCAGATCCGCAGAGTCTAAATACAGAAAAGAATGAAAAAAGGAAAGAAAAAAGAAACAAAAAGAAATAAAAAAGAAACAAAATCAAACAAAAAGGGTCTTACTGAAAGAGGGAGCCCCCCCGGGGGCCCCCAGGGGGGGCCCCCGGTCTCCCTGCGCAGCCCTGAGGCAGCTGCGGAGTCTTTCTTGAAATGGCAAAAGTTTCTTTTTGTCTTTTTCTTTTTTTGTTTCTCCAGGATCTCGAGAATTGGAAGAAACAAAAAGAGAAGAGTTTGCAAGTTGCTGCTCTGCTGCTGCAGCAAAAGCTGCGAGCTCAGCAGCAGAAAAGGGGCCCCCGGGGGCCCCCTCCGCCTGTCCTGCGCAGCAGCAGCAAAGACACAAAAAAGCTACTAAAGGGGGCCTTTTGCTGTTGCTGCTGCTGCTGCTGCTACTGCTGCTGCTGCTGCTTTTGTCCCCTTTTGGGGCCTGCAGCTAAAAGGCTCCGGAGGAATATCCAAAAAAGTGCTTTTAAATGGTATTTATTTCAAGTCTTTTGCAAGTGTAATTCACAAAGATAAACAAACTTTTTTGTGGGGCTGGCGCATGCGCATGCAAAAGGGGTATTTTGAATAATTAGTTTTTTTCTCTTTTCTTTTCTTTTAAATTAATTTATTTTCAAATTTAATTAAATTCATTTTCGAGGACTTTTCTCAATATCCAAATATATATTTACATGTTTATTTATATAAATATGTAAATATATATATTCACAATAAATATTCATAATATATAATATGCATTTATATATATATTAAATATATATAATGAAAAAAATACATAATATATTATAATTATGTATAAATATACTAAAAGAATACCTATACATTACGAAGTGTACACAACACATAATGTATAATAAAACAGAAATATATAAAATAAATATATAATATACATAACATAGATATATACTAAGTATTTATAGTATTTATATAATGAAATATATATATCATATTTATGTAATTAAAAATATATGTACATGTATATATGATATTTATACAATAAGAAATATATGTATATACATTTATATATATGATATTTACATAATTAAGTGTACACACATTCATATATTATTTTAATACAATCCAATATACGTATATATATACTTGTATATATGATATTTATATAATTAAATATATATATATATATACATATATATATATACACATATATATATTTATATATGATATTCATACAATTAAGTACAATATATACATACATCTATATATGATATATAAACAACTAAATGTAATGTATATATATATGCATATATATATATATATATTATATACATTTATATATCCGATTAATAAAACAAATAAAATATATACATATGTAATAATTATATATAATATATTTATACAATTATGAATAAATAAATAAATAAATACATTTATATATTTAATAATAATAAAGTTGCCAAGAACAGTGTCAAGAGTAATTCGCGGGGAAAAGCTTTTAATTAATTATTACATCAAATTAAACTGTGCAAAAACAACACTAAAATAAAAATATCTATATAACCAATATATGTATAAATATATATATATATAAATATATAATTTTCTAATAGATAATATATATTACATAATGAACTGCTATATACATATATATATATATACAGATAATATGCATATATATCTATATATATAAAGATATGTATATGTATTTATATATTTATGTATATAGAGTTCATTTAC